ATGTCTAACAATAAGCTATAACTTACAACTCTAAGTTTGAATGCAGAACTCAACAAATCTCCCAGTGTGTTAGCGGTCAAGTCAAGATTTTTTTTATTTACAAGACATTTTCTGATGTGAGCTAGGCACAGTGGTAATAGCATATTTCTTGAAGCTGACAAATAGAAAAGTGTGACTTTAGATCAATTCACAAGGATTGAAGATTTAAGAATAGTTTTACTTAAGTCAAGGAAGAAGACTTCTGCTTAATTCATGCAAACTTATTAAGATATAAAAAAAGACCTATTCTATTCCAATGAATACATCAATGTTTTTATAAATTAATTTAACTTGCTTTTATTCTGATAAATACAGAAATGTTCTACTTTCTGTTTAATATAGATATGTTCTATTGGGATGGATGAGAAGTGTTTAATAACAAACGAAATCTGATACAAAAGTGTCAGTTATTAATGCTAACTTAAAAGCCTTGAGAAATAAAAATATCCTTTTAATGTTAAAATTGTAAGGTCACATTTTTATTAGATTGTTAATTGGACCACAACGAAAACTGTATGTTGGTGATCAACATATCTTATTTCGATGGCTGAAGTTAACAGAGTTCATGATGTACATTCAAAAGTAAAGTTTTCATTTCAGGCTTTGCGATCTATAGGGCAGATGATGAATAGATCATCTGTTTCTATTGTGACAGTTAACAAGGGTGTCATAAGGCCACCATAATGGCCATCAGACTTTACTTCTCTAACTAATGTCAGGTACTCATTAAAGTTGGATAGACTCAGGAGTGTCCTAAAAAAATCCTTAAAAATTCAAAATGCTCTCTTCAATCTTAACTGAGATTCCAACTGAGACATTGGTATTATAATATCATTTTTTTTATTATTTTAAAGTATTTTTTCATGAAGGGTAGCAATTTAGAAACTTATTTTTAAATGACATTTTTGAGCTTCTAAATAACCATTGACCTGGCTAAATAATAAACATTAACCTGCATCCTGAAAAAGTGGAGAATTTATGACATGTTTCACCAGACTAGTCTTGGCTTTAGTCACTTTGCTACCAGGCTCAACATTCACACGACTCAAAAGAAATTTGACAATTTGTGCAAGTTCCATCAGAGATTCAACATGCAGCAGAGGTATAAAACACTTGTGAAGATTGCTTAAAATGTAGGCCTACAGAAGAAACAAGACAGATTTCATTACTCTGAATTATATGGAAAAAAAAATTGTTAAAAAAAATGTTTTTCCTCCGACCAAATTTACAATGTTTTTGTATTAATATTTGTTATACATTGTAATAATTTTAAAATTATCCATCCAAGTATAAGTTCAGCTGAAATATTTCCTTTGTCATCTAAAAAAATGGTTTAATTTGCCTAATAATTTCAGCTCACCAGATTAGTTATGTAAACTGTCACAGCGCCCAGTCAATGAAAGTATGGAAGTTATAAATAATTATAGTTTTCAAAGAGCTGTTTGGTTCAAGTTTTATATTTGTAATTAATTCTGTCATACATCTAAAAATTAAAGATTAATTTTAGGTGACTATTCAGAGGTAAGATAAAATACAAATTTCCACTACATTTAACAAATTTAAACAGTTTTAAATGATATACATTTGTAGCCTGGAACCACTTTGTAAAAAGAAAGAAATATGTACATGAGGCTTCTCTTCTGATCATTAAGGACGAATGCAGTAATTCATATGGCAATGCAGTCCCAGCTACGACCTACATATCACATTGTGTGTAAATGCAAATTTAGAAAAGTGTATCATGGAGCTTTTTTTTTTATGTAAACATAGTATGTTTAAACACATTTTATGTTGAATGAATAACTAATGCAATAGTATCTGAGTTAAATCCAAATCAATGATCTGACTTAAAAAATATCCAAGGAAATGAACTGGCTACCTGAGCTTTATGGAGAACAACCTCAGTTGACTTCAGAACATTGCCTAATGTATCAAAGACCAAGTTGAGATTTCTCTTGAATTCCTTCACTGGCTGATCGGCATTAATCCTGAAGAAAATTATAAAACATTGACAAAAAATGGTACACGAGTTATGAAGATGTCATAGTCAAGAGCTCAGTCTTAGGTACTTAATTTAATTAAAATTTAAACTAAATTAAAAAAAACAAAAACTTTTTGACTTGAGCCTTTGTAATATAATTTTAAAAATATAAATAATTACTTGATTATAAAATTTGGAAATAATAAGAAAAGAGAAATTATTTAAAACTAACTTTTCTAATATAAAAAAAAAATGAAACCTATTTAGATCATACAATGGATCTACACAAATATAAAATTATAGTCTATATGTATTTTAATTGAAGTATTGTTTTATTCTAAAATTTAAGATGCAGTACAAAATTAAACTTATTTTACAACTAACCTTTTGGATATAATACATGACTGAACTGCAAACTTAAAAATATCTCCTATGACCTGAAATATACATAAAATTTAAATACCAAAAGTCAAATGTTTAGAATATGGAGATTTAGATTTGTAGATTTAAAAAAAAATTAAAATACAGAGACAGACAAACACAAGGCGATGCAAACACTCATTCAAACACAAGAGTCTACTGAGCTTGAACAGTATTTTCCACTTGGAGATATGTTATCGTACAAAGTTGAGTTTTAGTTAAAATTAAAGCAAATAATTCTCTGAAGTCAATTTGCAAGGCAATCAAAAAAAAAAACTCCATGCAGCACACCTGGGAGTTGACTTAATGAAGAAACGAGAAAAAAAAAGATTTTCAGGCCTGAATTATCAGCATGGATAAAAGAAATAGCCAACTCATGCTATATTTGTCAGAAAAACCAACAAACCAAAGAGAAGTGTTAATACATGAAAAAAAGTTTCAAATGCTGGGACAAGACTGAAATTGATTTATTCCACATCTTTAGAAAGTTTGTATTTTCCACATGAGCAACCCTATAAGTAGACTTCAGATTTTGTACATGAGATGTGTGAGATTAATAATATCATGAAACTAATTAATTCCAATCCAAATAATAATTATAGACTGCATTTGGTATCCCATGGTATGAACCAATCAGAATGACAGGCCTGAACAGAACATTGCAGACAATACAGCACTAAATGGGCATACAATCAAATGTACACAAGAGATGATGTAGAGCCTTGATAGAGATGCACTCAAAATCAGCATCATGATAAATCTTGACAGAACCAAATGTAAGCGTACTGGCTACAGGTCAGCATACAGAGCTTGAATAGATAGAACAGTTCACCTATTTTAGCACAGTATACAGAGCTTGAATAGATAGAACAGTTCACCTCTTTAAAAAACTACAGCCTATCTACATCCCACAGTATGAACCCTACACCTTGAGCCATTGTAATAAGATATGTTGATCACTAACCTACTATTATTGTGGTCCAAATAACAACCGAATAAAAATGCTAACAAATAAATCAGATTGGAGACAAAGATTCACCTTCTCAATACAATCATTGTCCCAATGGCCACCTATGTTTGCGAGATGTGGAAGTCATCCATAAAGGTTAAAAAAAGACAAACCGTGGCTCAACAGCAATGGCTGAGAAGGATCCTAGGAATAACATACTGAGATCAGGTCACCAATAGAGAAGTTCTTCTCATACATGTACTCCTCTTCTTATTGAAAAGGTAACCAAACATAATATGAAATTCATGTGATATATCCTTAGGCAAGATGAAATATGTTTACATAAGTTAGCCATTTCATGAAAGCAAAAAGAGGAAAGTGAAAACAAGGCCATCCACTTATAACATGGCCTCACACCTTTACATAAGACCTAAAATTTGTGTGCACCAGATGGGAAGAGGCTTTGGAAGTAGCCTATGATCAATCTATATGCAGAGAACTTGCTGCCCTATGCACTGAACAGCATGGGAGGACCTAAGTCTAAAGAAGTCAGACCAAACTAAAAAACAAAACATTTAGATTTCACTAATCATAAAAAGCAACATAGAATTACTGGCTAAATTTAACTTATCTATTAAAATATAGAGCGAAGCTAAAACAATAATAAATAAATGCAAATTATAGGGCAGGAAGAAGTCTAAAAATAAGGTAAATTGATGTAGTAAAAAAAAAGCCTACACAAAAAGGTGATATATAAGAACAGACATATTGCAAGAAATCATCTGCTAAATCTCCTTAAAGCCTCCAAGTAAAAAACAAAACACACAATTTTTTTAGTGAAGTAAAAAAAATGAAATTTTTCCCTAAATTCAGCAGCAAGACAGAAAAATAAACAAAGTCTAAAAAGAATTATGTATTTACTAAAGTGTTTTCTCAAAAGAAATAAAGACCTGGTTTGTTCAAGCTTTGTCTCACCTTAAAAACTTTTCTACTATTACTTTCATCAAAATCTGAACATGTGTAGATTCTCTCTGCTTGCTTCTTCAGACATAACATCAAATCTCTATATGTGTAAATAGATTATTAACATTGTAGAGAAATATGTAGGTGACATTTGACGAGAATAAAAGATAATTTGTTTTGTTTTTTTAAACAAATCTTTCCAAGACATTAAAATTCATTACTATTGTTTAAAAAAAAAAAGATTTTTTTTTTTACTTTTATAAAAATATCAAATTTGTATCAGTGTCAAGTGCAGGGGGTGTGTAAGATGTCAGATTGTGTGTGTGTTTGTTTATTTTATTAGTTGTGAGGGTGAACTGCCTTAGCATGGGATTTTCAAAGGGGGGGACAATAAGGTTTCCTGTTGTCAGTCAAGTTAGTTGGAGAGCTGACCTGGTCTGAGTAGGGTGCTTGTAATTGTTTATCAGTTTTTATGCCTAGCGTATGGAGATGTTACATTATTATTCTTGCTATGTGTGTGAAAGGACTATTTGGGGGTAATACTATGTGTGGCATTGATGGCCTATGTTAACTGAATCTAGTCTAAGTGCCCTGTAGTATTAATTTGGGCACATTTAGTAATTTTAGTCATTGAAGATAATGTATTCAATGTTACATGTGTAACCTATTGTTGGCTGTAAATAAATACTAATTCTATACTCCTTCGTTGAGTGGTACTTCACAATACTTGTACATGTAAAGCTCTGCATGTGAAAATCATATCCCTGTAACTTACGACCCTCCAAAGAACTAACCCATATCCTTTACACAGTTCCTATAACTCATCTCCCCTTATGGCTTCATTTACTTCTCTTTTCTTTTCAGCAGTGCATTAAGTTAAAAAAAATGAAGAGACACAAATTCCACATCTTTTCTAAACTCTCTCTCTCCCCTCCCCCTAAAGCCCTTCCTTCCGCTCCTTATCTCTCTCTCAAACTTTCTCAATATTAAACACAAGAAGCTGCTTTGCACAAGACTACAACATTACTACCAAGAGATTAACATTTCAATATTTATAAAATACTAAGACTAAGACTGCTTTATTGATCCTTATGGAAATTTGTTCTGATTGCAAGGACTCTATTCTCATATACAGACAACACAACAGAAACATACACATAAATAGAACAGACACAATGTAAATAAATGTTTCATACCATTAATTAAGAATGCTTATTGAAACAGTAAAAGACTCCACAAACACAATCCATACCCATCTCCAAGTTTAAACTGCTTTTTAAAAAAAAATTCCTTCCTAACTCTATCTCCTTTATTTATTTCCTTTCCCTTCATTTATGAAACAATGATGTCATATGACTCTTAAGATTTCTGTTAACAAACCACTCCTGATGTCTGACATGTAAGAACACAAAGAACAAGACAATGCTAATTTGTGCTGGTATAAGTGCCTTTGAACCAACTCACCTGTGTGCAAGTGGAGATGAAAATGACTTTTGTAAATACTCTTCTAGGACATCACTAAATTTTTTGAACTTGTCTTCATGGAGTAAATTAAAGATATGAACCTAGATACAAATGTTTAATTTATTTAATTAGTAATTATGACACCAATCCAAGAAAACTCACTATGAAAGTAAGTCACTGGGTATGAAAAAAGTAAAAGAAAATAATTAACTCTTTCTCTCCTAACTGACGATACCAGCATTGATTCCACCAGAATGTGGTAAATAATTACGGAGAGAAAGAGTTAAGAAAGGTATAAAGAAGTAGAGTAGGTTTAACTTTTTAAAAAACTGACCAAAGTTTGAAAAATCTCCATTGCAAATGGAACTTGTTCCTTCTCACCAGCTGTAAACATGTCAAACAGAGCATCCAGAACATCTTGAAGATACTGGAAAATTAGAACATGAATTTACAAAAATCATTATTAAAAAGCTAAAGTAAATCTATTATCTTGGTGTACATTTTTTAAAAATAAATTTTATTACATTTTTGATATCATAAATAGGGTGATATGTGTAGCATTAGAGGCATAAATGTTTTAAAAAATAAATAAATAAATTGTGGTACACTACAGAATGCAGATAATCAACTATAGGCCTGCACCTTCAATTACTCTGTCTAGGCTACAATCTCTCAACAATGCAGAATCTAGATTTAATTCCTTTCATAAAATACATGTATTATCTAGTTTTGATTTCAATCAGTAAGTGTATGCTGTATTTGGTTAAATAAATTAATTGAATTTCTCACACAATGAAAGTATCTGGGTTTTTAAGTTCTCACAGAGCACATTTAAATCTGGTTATTTCTTATATCACTAATAGTGAACATATGCAATATCCAGGTTAGATGCCTCTAAATAGACTTGACACTACTTACTTACCCGAACTAATTCTTGACCTTTCAGTTTGATTAAACTATCTAAATGATACAGAATTTTACTAGGATTTGATCTCCATTGTAAAACATTCAACAGTTCAGCTGAGGAAATAGTAATTGTAAAACATTCAACAGTTCAGCAGAGGAAATAGAAATTGCTTAAGTGAAAAACACATTTGTATTTTTTGACACTATACATTTGTACTCTTTGAGAAAACAGCCTTTGATTCGTTAGATCACACTTTACAATGGTACACTTGGATACACGAGTCACATTAGGGGAAAAAAGGCAGTCAAAAATACTGACAAATCCTATTTTACATGTGGATTTGTTATCCACTTATTCGGACCTACATTCCATTTAATCAGACCAATCAAATGAGAAAAATAAGTCACAAGTTGGAAATGTGAAACTTCCACAGGTTGAAAATTATGAATAATTTTTATCCATGAACAATGAGCTACAATCTACAATGAAACTGAAGACTATTATGCTGCAATTATTACTTAAAATGGGAGAAGAGTACATGACTGTATCAGCAGACCAGAAAAATTGAGATAAAGCCCATAATCGGTGCAACTGACAACTCATGATACATAGAATAGCACTATAACTTTGTCTCACTATTTTATGCAAAAGGGCTGCATGTAAGTGGTGAATTTATTCAAGTGCATTCCAACAAGAAAACACATCAAATCACACTGGATAAGTTCTTGTGGAATTTATCAATAGCTTTTTAAAATTATGCTTCATATGCTGGGTAGCTATACATGGTATTGTGGATCCTTTTAAAAAACATGTCTGAAAATTTATTTTTATTACACAAAGTTTATATGCAACAGTAGTTAATGTTTGTTTGTTTGCTATACAAGTGTATCACACAGTAAAGGTTTAATAAGCATTTTTTTTGTGTAAAATGTTCTGTATGTTTCGGTTGTTCCTTCATAGTTAAAGATAATTTACTTCCTAGTCCAAAATTCCCGCAGGACTTTGGGGGGCAGGGTTTGAACCCGGGACCATCGATAAGTTTGAATGACAGTCCAGCGCGCAAACCGCACGACCAGGCAGCCATTTAATATTACACAAATTTTTGCGCATATTATTGGGCATATTTGTGTAACTGGATCAGCCGCTTATTAGGACCAAAACAATCGCATCACAATAAGATCAAATTAAATCTAATTAATTTTAAACAATTGTTTCAAAAGTTTTTACTTTTTTGAGCAAATTTTGTAGAGCAAAGCAATGTTCTAATGCTTAGAAACTCTCTTGATGATTGCTGGTAGGGACAGTGTTCATTGGATGATTTTTTGAAATCCTCACTCTCATCCCTCAGATAGGGCAGGCGAAGATAATTTCTCACTTTGCTTGAATCATCACACTGAAACAAGAGACATCCATTGTGTTTACAAAACAAAAAGTATCAGCAAAGATTAAGATGATTACAAAGATTAATAGAGAGAGCAATGTCCCAAAAATAAATTCTACGAATAAAAAATATCCATATTGGAATTTTGACTGAATATATATAGGCAAAGATTGTTAAAATTTAAAACAAAAGTATACAAGAAAAAAACAGCTACAGACACAAAGTATTTTCAACAAAAACATACAAAACACAATTTGTTTTCCTTTTTGAAAAGAATACCAATAAATTGATAAGTTGATAATACTGACAGTCAAAAGAAAGCTAAAAAATTATAATTTGAAAAGACAGACTAAAAGTCAAATTGTCATTATTTGAAAAAGCAACACAAAAAGATGGAGAGCATGCTTACCTTGTAGATGCGTAGATCATATTTACCATCCTCTTGAGCTATGTTACCTTGTTTAGTTAATGATAAAAAGGCAAAGCCGTACATCTTTTTCTCAGCTTTATCTCGATCTGTTGACAGAAAATAGTTCATATCTTTCAGGATATATTTGAAATGTGAACTAAATATTTAGCTCTTAAAAGTTTAGCTTTTATTAATTGTGCAATAGAAATGTAAACTAAAATTTTTCTATTAATGCAAAATTATTTTATCTAGATTTTAAACTCTAATATGAAGGCGGTCCTACTGTGTGGTTCTGTAACATGGAGAACAACTGAAGCAGTAACAAAAAAAAGTACAGACCTTCATCAAGAGATGTTTGAGAAATATCTTGAAAATACACTGGTATGACAAAATAGAAAACACAAAACTGTGGGAGATGGGTAGACAGAGAAATATAGAGGTGCAGATCTTAGAGAGAAAGTGGAAATGGATGGGTCACACCCTTAGAAAAGGGTGAATACCAGCAACAGAACTAGACAGGCCTTGGAGTGGAAACCCCAGGGCACAAAACATAGAGGAAGACCAAAAAGAACATGGTGACGCAGTGTGTCAGATGAAGCAGCGAAGACAGGAAAGAGCTGGGAAGTTATTAAAAAACTAGCAAGAGACTGTGGAGAGTGGCCTGTTTTTACTGAGGCTCTATGTTCCACATGGAAAGATGATGATGATGAATGCAAAATACAAAAGTTGTGAAATCTTACTGGAGCAATGACAAAGTTCAATTCTTACATGTGCTACATTGAATTTCTCTATTGGAATGGATAACTGTGGACCAAAAAACAAAAAAAAAAGCAGTTGAGTAATAACCATACGATTGCATTAATTTCAATTAAATTACAATGATATTCAGTTTGAATATTATTTTAGAGGAATTAAAGAATTTAAGTTGCTGCTAAATAGCACTAACACATTAAAAATTAGAATGGCATTGTTCTGTTATCATTTCATAATGACCAATGAGTAGAACTTCCATGCACTGCTATCAACATAAAAAGTTACATCAGCTGACTTTGAACCAATATACCTTCAACATATCCACATTCAACCTCAAACCCATTCACACTCCCACACCTCCCAGCTATGAGAAGACAAGATTGGAAGAATAAAAATGTATGACTATAAAAACACCATGTACTCAACAATTTCGTAAGTTGTTTTTTTTTTTAGTGTAGTAGAATTCATTGTTAGTAGGAAGCATATTGAGACTACAGAAGTGCTCCCCTTGAAAAAAATAAGTACTTCAAATAGTCATATATTGACTCAAATAGTTTCAACTATTACAGGCATATCAGGGTAGTCACAAACAAAGCTTTAAAAAAAAACTGTTTCAATGCTACATTTACTTTTGTTTATCAATCATTATAAGTGAAGTCAGATCTACATTAAAATTAAGCTAGACTCAAGATATTTACCCGAATAGTTTCTTGCCACTTTGGTGTATTGCTGTGGTACAACACATAGGAAAAAAAAGTAGAAGACATCTGGTCACCAGAAGCAGAAAGAATGCAGTCCTGGAATAAATTAGTTTTTATTCATGGTATTTTGACAATCAGTATGCATTTGTCCAGTTTACAAGTGTTGGTAAAAAAGTTCTTGCTTTTCATGATTTTAAATTGACAATAGTTTGTCCACATTAGTGCATTTATCTAATGCTTCAATGTGTAATTAGCACTTCTTTCAAATCACTGGAGAGATAAATAGTTATTATTCTAACTTGAACATGTTTGACACTTTTTTTTTTTTTTGGTTATTTCACAAGCAGGCAGTAATAGAATGGACAATGAGTGTAA